AGTTTTTTTAGTTTTAATCACTATGCTATGGCAACGCAAGGTTTGAACACTAGGAGGCACTGGGTGAAGGGTGTACCGGGACCCTGTGCCATCTTCTCAATGAACAGGATTCTGAAATCACCTTTCTTAGTTAATAGAGGTAAAGTGGGGAAAACAGCAAAGCCTGATGTAGATATGAGCCAGCCACCCGGAACACGTTATCCTCTGCTTTACTCGAGAGCCACGCATATTCAGATAATGGGGAACAGCTGTTTCCCTGGTCCCACTGTTACACTCATGGGATGTGCTTATGACCAAAGAGAAGCAGCCAGGAGCAGAAAGGTGGTGCCTAAGATCTGTGTGGGGCTCACGGCCTCAAGTCAATTAATTCAGCCTCCCAGCACCCCCATGGGGAGGGGGCCAGCAGGATTATCCCCACTTTATAGATGAGGACACTGTGGCTTGAAGAGACAGCTCCTATCTGTCTCTGTCATTCTCTCCCTCTTTCTCTACCTCTGTGCCTCTTTGTCTCTATCTCTGCCTCTCGCATCTCTGTCTCTGAACCTCTGTGTCTCTCTAGGTGTCTGTCTTCTTCCCCCACCCCCTGTCTACACACACATAGAGTACTTGGAATTCAGGAACTTCCCCCACCCTGTTGGTAGGTCTCCATCACGAAATGCGCATGGCTCCCCAGGACCCTGCAGTCAGGTAGAGCAGTAGAGCAGGTGGGAACAGGGACCAAGAACTCTGAACCATGCCCCGGGGCAGGAAGAGGGATGTGAGAGGGGGAAGCGACCGGGTCCAGGCCCCAGCTCCCCTGGAGCCAGCCACAGACCCACAGGCGCTTCCCGCCTCCCTGCCGCTGGTTTCTCTCTCTTTCCTGGACTCCACGGATGGAAGCAGATGCCCAGACCCTCACATCCTCCTTCAGGAAGGATACACTCCCCTGTGCATGGCCGTGGGCTCCCCCCAGGGTCTCTTTCCTGCCACCCATGTCTGTGGTACCAGGAGCAGACCTTTCTCCACGAATCCTGTGCCGAATGGGGTGCCCAGACTTAATCAAAGGTCACCCAGCTCGCCTCCCTCTGAGGCTCTTCCAGTTCCACACTTTACACTCTGAACTTTGAGAATCCTGCCTTGAACACACACACATCTCCCCTCCGGTGGCCTGTGGGGTCCGCCCCTCCAGTCCCTCACTGCAGGCGCATCAGTAGCAACAACACTTAACAGACCGGGAGAGTGAAGTCGCTCAGTCATGTCCAACTCTGTGACCCCATGAAATGTAGCTCGCCAGGCTCCTCCATCCATGGGATTTTCCAGGCAAGAATACTGGAGCGGGTTGCCATTTCCTTTTCCAGGGGATCTTCCCAACCCAGGTATCGAACCTAGGTCTCCCATATTGCAGGCAGACTCTTTACCTGATCAGATCACAATGAATCAAACACCTGACTGGCTATTTGGTGGGACAGGAGAGCTACACGTGGCATCCTGGGGGGTCCCAGGGACTCCATCCCCACTTCCCAGACAAGCAAACTGGGAGGGGGTCCACACACACAATCACCCACAAAATCATACAGGATCTCACAGTGCAATCACGGTTACACAGACACACAACGTACAGGCAATAACACCACCCCACACAGCCACAGGCAACCCCACGCTTGAGACCACACAATTATGCGCAGTCGGCTCACACACCGCACGTGCCGCAGGTAACTGACTACGACCCCATTTGAAACCCAGGCCTTGTGAGCACCCCACTCCAAATCCTGGTCGTTTTTTCACGCCCTAGCAAGGGACTGGCTGAAATAAGCCACAGAGAGGAGAGCACAGACCCTCCCCAAACCCCTGGAGACCTCCCCGTCTCTGCTCCCCGACCCCGTTTTCTGCCGCCCCATCCCCACGCCCCCACGCGGGTTTAGTCGAGCTAATGGTGGGAAGGCAGGAGAGCGGCCACTGGGGACAGGGAGCCCTCAGGATCGGGAAAAACACAGGGCCCCCGGCCGTCTACAGAGCAAGGCCTCATTCACACTCCCCGAGGGCGTCTACACAGCCAGACGCGTCCAACAAGCCGGACCACTTCGGCACCGCACCTGCTCCGTCTACACAGCCTGAACCCAGGCGTGGGGAGAGGGCGGCCACCTCAAATCGGGAGGCCCCAGACTCACCGCTCTCAGCCCGAGGCTGCACAGCGCGACCCGGCGGCTCCCTCCACAACCCACCGGGACTCCAGCGGCCTCGGGGATGGGGCGGGCCTGGGGGCGGCACCAGGTGGGAGCACCGCCTTCCCCCGACCCGGGCAACTCCTGGGCTGGCCGCCCTCCTCCTACATCACCGGCCCCCAAAGTACCCCTCCCCCCATCATCACGGCACCCCTCCCCCGATCACTGTCCCCAACGCGGCACCCCTTCCCCTGCTCACCTGAGACCCACCCGCGCCTCTCCCGACTCCCCGAGGCTCCGAAAGGACAACTGGGTGTGGGCCGTCCTGCGCACCTGGTCAGGAGCCCAGGTGGATCCTTTGAAGGAGCTGGGCCAGCGGAGGGAGGGAGTGGGGGCGCAGGGTTCTGGCCCCTGGGATTTTCTGGGAGCTGGGGAAGCCAGTGCTGTGGAGGTAGAGGGTGTGGCCTCCGCAGGTGAGCCCACATGGGCAGGTGACCTGGGACAGAGGGCAGGGGAGGGGAGCAGAGAGCTGGGGGAAGGGTGTGTATGTGAATATCCAGGGTAGTTTATTAAATGAACTTCTACATTGTAAAATGGTTTCAGAGTTTTGAAAGATTCCTGAACATAGTTTGGAGAGCTCCTACATACTTGGTCCAAGGCCCCTGCATATCTGACAACTTGCTTTAAAGTGGTGGTTCGTGGGCACAGTTACCAACCATATTCCCTAATCCCTTAGGCTACAACTGGGTGGCCAGGGAGCTATTAGCCTCTTGCATTCCCCTTGGAGCTCCACAGGAGGAGCCCCTGACCCCTGACTCCACTCCCTCCTTCCCTTAGAGCAGCCTCAGAGCTTTCTAGAACTTTAGTCCCCTCACCTGCAGGTGATATACCTTGCCCACCTGGCTGGAAACTCCCACCCCTCTCCAGGCCACAATCCAGCCTCCTGTCACCTCCCCATCAGAGCCCCAGACAGACTATCCAGTGTCCCTCAGGCTGGATGGTCACCTCCTCCAGGAAGCTTTCCCTGCCACCTGCCCCCATAGGATAGAGCTGGGGGCTGCTCCCTTGCTGACCCTCGGACACACTGCCTTCATAGACAGACATGTCCCAGGCCTGAGCAGAGGACTTGGCGCAAAGCAGACGTGCGGTGGACCAGTGAGTGAACGAGCAGGTGGATGGATGAGAAATACGTAAGATCTGGTCTGCTTAGTGGAAGAGAATTGCTGTGCTCAGGTCCGCTTCGGAGCTCCAACACTAGATGCTGCTGTCGATGTGGTGAGAGGTACAGCCTGGTGGGAGCCTGGAGGAGCTGGGCCTGGAAGCCTGAAGGAGGGTCTGGCATCAGCTGACATACTCCAGTGCTCCCACGGGCAGTGAGTGAAGTGAAAGTCACTCAGTTGTGTTTGACTCTTTGCGACCCCATGGAATTCTCTAGGCCAGAATACTGGAGTGGGTAGCCTTTCCCTTCTCCAGGGGATCTTCTCAACCCAGGAATCGAACCCAGTTCTCCCGCATTGCGGATGGATTCTTTACCAGTTGAGCCACAAGGGAAGCCCAGTGCTCCCATGGACAGGCAGGGATCTTAATGGCTGGGGCTGCTGCCTGTCTTTGCCCAGCTTCTTGCTAAGCAAAGGATTTGCATTATTATTTACTTATATTTCACTTTATTGATGCTTTGAAATTGCAGTGCTGGAGAAGACTCTTGAGAGTCCCTTGCACTGCAAAGAGAACAAACCAGTCAATCCTAATGGGAAGTAACCCTGACTATTCATTGGGAGGACTGAAGCTAAAGCTCCAATATTTGGGCCACCTGATGTAAAGAGTCCACTCATTGGAAAAAACCCTGATGCTGGAAAAGATTGAGGGCAGGAGAAAGGGAGGACAGAAAATGAGATGATTGGATGGCATCACCAACTCAATGGACCTGAGTTTGAGAAAAGTCCGGGAGATGGAAAAGGACAGGGAAGCCTGACGTGCTGCAGTCCATGCAGTCGCAGAGTCAGATATAACTTAATGACAGAACAGCAACCATCTATTTTTAATTGGAGGATGATTTACAATGTTGTGTTAGTTTCTGCCATACATCAAATGTGAATCAGCCATAGGTATATAGATGTCCTCTCCCACCTCCTACCCTATCCCACCCCTTTAGGTTGTCAGAGCACCGGGCTGAGCTCCCAGCATCATAGAGCAAATGCCCGCTAGCTGGTTTACGTATGGTAAAGTGTATGTTTCAATGCTGCTCTCTCAATTCCTCCCACCCTCTCCTGTCTCTGCTGTGTCCACAAGTCCGTTCTCTATATTTTTAACTGATTGTGAATGAGTATGTTATGATCTCTGAAAATGACACAAACACACGTTTTGGTGTCCACCAAGTTTTTGGCCACAATCACACCTGTCTGCTTAACTGTTGTCTGATGTTTCTGGTTACATCGCTGGGTTGACCGGTCGTGACAGCGACCATGTGGCTCTAAAAGGCTCCAACAATGACCACCTGGTTCTTTACTGACAGTCTGAGGTTCCTGCCACGGGTGATTCCGTCCCTGCTTCTTAGATCAGCACAGGCAAGCAAAACGCAGGCTACAGACCCTACTACTCACCCCTCCCCACGAGGCCCCTGCTCGTCAGAACAAGTGGCTGTCCAGCGGCAAAGCTGAAACCTGGCTTGGGTAGCACTACCCACATAGGCCGCGGGTGTTCTTAGGAAGTGTCCCTCCACACAGGAATTACTGCAGGACCAAGGCTCCTGGGCCCGGCCCACCACGGGCTTCCCCTCACAGCTTCCCTACGCGCCCCACCCCCCGCCCCGCCCATTTACTCCCAACCCACTGAACCACAGAAAAGTCAAAGGCCCGAGCATAAATATCAAAAGCTGTGTTTAATTACAAGATTCAAACAGAAGCAAGGCAGAAACTGCAAACGGAAACTTCAGGAACTAATATCCCGCTTTGAATTCCTTGACATTTGTCAAACTTCAGAAACAGGAAAAAAAAAGAAAGAGAGAGAAATTCCATCCGCGTTCGAACATTGACGACGTACAAAATGGCTTACAGGAAGGCGTGGTCCTCCGGGAAGGACGGGGTCCGCTCGGACCCTCCCTCCCCTCCCCCCATGCCCGGTGGCTGCCTCCCCGCCCCGCCTCCGAGGCCAGGGGCTCCCGTGGGGTGGGGCGGGCAGGTCCAGCTGCGCCACCCCAACCCAACCGCGGGGTCACCTGTTCTTCTTAGGAAACACAGAAACAGGTGGAAGACGTCTTCTGGGTTTTGTTTTTTCAGAAACAAACATGGTTTCTTCCTCGGAGGCGTGGCTGAGACGTGAGTCTGGCGCTGGTATCATTTGGAATGGATCATGGTTTGGAGACCGGCGGGACGGGAGGGACGCGGAGCCGGCTTGCGGTCGAAGGGTCTGGGCCTCGCCTCTCGTCTTGGACGTGGAGGAGTAGGCCGGGGCCCTGGCGGTCACAACCCCCGATGCCTGTCCGGGCGGTGGCTCCCTAGCCAGCCCGACGTGGGGGCGGCGGCATCTCCGTCCTGAGGTTCAGAGAACCCTGTCTGTGAGGTAGAAGACGTAAGCCAGTTCCAGAGCCCCCCTCCCACATTCCGGAAGCTCTCCGCCCGCCCGCGGTAGCTGGAGGCCCAGGTGCGTGCACTGATGGGGTGCTGAACGTGCAGGTGACCGCGGCGAGGGTGGGGGCCGAGTTCCTCTAAGCGGAAAGGCAAAATAGGGCCACCGGCCTGGCGCCAGCCACCCCCCTGCTTCAGAGGAGCAGTCCGAGGGGCTCGCACCCCAACAGGCGACACTACCAAGATCTCAAAAAGTCGTGGCCATTTATTAAAATATGGAGGAGCTGGAGCACAAGGGCTGTGCGCTCAGCGCGGGGCCCCAACCCTACCGAACCAGCGACAGCCCCAGTCCAAGCCCCGGGGGCCCTGCGGACCAGAGCCCCTCCCTCTCCCGCCCCCGACCCCAGGGAAGCAGCAGCGGGGTAAGCACCAAACTGGGCGTGTCCGAGGCCCCCGGCGGGGGTGCCGCTCTGCCCTCCCCAGGACACCACCGCGCAGGAGGTGGACCGCGCGCGGGGGTGGCCTCTGCCGGCCAGGGGCTTCGCGGCCACGCGAGCTCGGAGCAGGGCTGGGGGCCAGGGTGCGGCCGGCGGGCTGGAGGAGGACGTGCGCATCGGCCAGACCAGAGCACCAAGTTGGGGGCCGCGCGGGTCCAGTCCGGGGCGCGGCGCCGAGTCTGCACCCTCCCCTAGGCCGAGGGGCCGGGTGGGGCCGCGACGCGTTCGGGCTCCTGGGGAGGCGCGTCTGCCTCTAGCTCCTTCTCGGGCGCAGACGGTTCTGGGGTCTGCTCATGCGCATCGGCCAGACCAGAGCACCAAGTTGGGGGCCGCGCGGGTCCAGTCCGGGGCGCGGCGCCGAGTCTGCACCCTCCCCTAGGCCGAGGGGCGGGGTGGGGCCGCGACGCGTTCGGGCTCCTGGGGAGGCGCGTCTGCCTCTAGCTCCTTCTCGGGCGCAGACGGTTCTGGGGTCTGCTCCGCCGGCGGGGTCTGCTCCGCCGGCGGAGGGGTTGGGACCGCGTCTTCGCCAGGAGTTTGCCGGCCTGGGGCGGGGGCGCCGTCGGGGTCGGCACGGGGCTGCTGTGGGCCGTCGGCCGGGGCGGGCGCCCAGGGCGACTGAGGTAGGTCCTTCTGCGAAGAAGAGGCCTCGGGTTGGCGTGGCAGCGGGGTTGACGGGAGGGCAGGGGAGCCCCCGAGGGTGGGCTCAGACCAGGAGAGGGGGTGCGCTGAGACCTGCACCACCACCGGGGCCCCGGGAGGGCGCGACCTGACTGCTCTGGCTTGTTCTCCCTCGGGAACCTTCCAGCACCCACCCGCTCTGGGCCGGGCCAGGCCCTGGGGAGTGAGAGCTCTGAGGAGGGTGGGCACTGAGCCCCAGAGGCCTTCCTGAGAGCCTGGGGGAGGGTCCAGTTGCAGGCGGACTGAAGGGGGAGCGGGAGGCCCAGGAGACAAATGCCCCGGGGATGGAGGGGGTTTCCCAAGGGGCCAGCCATCCATCCCTGAGTTCCAGGACTACAACGGCCCGTCCTGCACATGGCATGGCCTCCGTCCCACTCCTCTATGGTTTCAGACAAGTACAGGGCCCAACCTGGGCCTCGCCCACCCCAAAGCAGCAAGAAGCCCAAGTGGAAACCTGCTTCCCAGCGACACCCACACAGGTACCCCTCTCCGCATGCCTCCCCACCTCGGCAGTGGCAGGAGGGGAGGAGACCCAACACCCGGGAAGGGGGCTGTGGGGTTTAGGTGTGAGGCTAGGAGGGCTTACTCAACTTTAACTCTAGTTAGGGCTTATTAGGCTATTACTGCTCGCAGACAGTCATAGCAAACTGGTATTCACCGCAAACCCGCCGCCCGTCCAGAACATGCCCAGCTCCCTGCGCCAGAGCGCCAGGGCGCAGCTGGTGACGAGCGTGCAGGGCACGAGGTAGAGGAGGGCGGGCTGGCCACGCTGCATGAGGGCCAGCGCCATAAACGTCACCAGGAGCCCGATGCCGTAGGCTGCGGGGACAGAGATGGGCAGCGTGTCACCCCATGGTGACTGTGACGCAGCAGGGGTCGATCCTCCCCACCTTCCAGGACATGCCCCACCGCCCAGCTGGGGCAGGCAAGAGCCCACGCAAGGGTCAGCCCCCAGACGGGGTGGGGGTGGGGGGCAGCCATGGGAGGGCCTGGAATCCTTGGGGTGGCTGAGAAGGAGCTGCAGAGGTGTCCGGATATCTCCATTTTATAAACTTCTAATCAGAAGAATAATCTGAACCAAAATAACATACGTACAGAATTAGGAAATCTTTCCTGAGTGATCACATGAAAGCCCTGAAGGGTCAGATGGCGTCTACACTTGGTGCTCCTCATTCAGAATAAACACGGTGTTATTTAGGGCTGTGTAAATGCAACTGTGCACGGATAGCGCAAGGATGGCCATACAACAGGGCAAATGCGATGAGGAGTTAGAAAGGGTCAGCCTGAACCCAGCAGAGGGTGTGGTACTGTACTGACCACTGTACTGACCTTGCAACTGTACAAGTGCAATTACTTCCAGGCCAAGAGCCTCATCTCCAGCACAGGCCTCCACTCCAGACCACTTGCCCTGCCCCTCACCTCCATGTTACTGAGCAATAGGATTGTGCTGGGAGAGTCCAGATTATCAACTGTGGACTCTCCACGTATCCTGAAGTGATCCATCTGAACAAACTAGGGATCTCAGCAACAGGAACTACAGGACAATCTGACACACCATTCAAAGGGAAGGACCTTGTGGGTGCATGTGGACAGGCTGAGCCTGGGGACTATGGCCCTGGGGGCCGGCATGGAGGACAGGTCTCCACCTCAGGAAACCAGGGGAAGGGCGGACAGCAGTGGCTCCAAAGTACGCCAGCTGGGAAGGCTGGCCTGCGTCCGCCTGGCCCACTGGTGGCTGTGGCAGGGCCTGTGCCCTCTGCAACTCCACTCTGCCCTGAAGAGCTGACCCAGTGGGACAAGAGAAGTGGTTTGGACCATCTTAGAAACCACCAGGCTTGACAGAAAATGAGGAAGCATCCTGTTGGTGTCAATGAATTTGCAAACAAACTGAAGACAAAAGGAAAAAGAGAAAGACAAAGAAAACCAAAAAGAAAAGAGAAACAATAACCACAGTGTAAAGTGAGGAGGCCGTAATGTGGGTGGAAGACCGGGCATGGGCTTACCGATGGTGCAGGCCACGAAGTAGACCCTGGAGGACTGCACCTGGATGTCGAAGCGGTGGCAGTAGGCCACGAGCAGCCCTGCAGAGACAGGCCATGTGCAGAAGCTGTGGGCAGAGGCCTGGCTGTGCCCCAGCTGGGCAACAGGGTTTCCATGGAGGGATGGGGCACCAAGCGTTCCTCCCCGGCTCAGGAGGGAGCGGGCCCGGTGCCACTCTGGACTCCTGGCAGGTGACTGAGACCTCAGGCCAGTGCAAACCCCAGCTTGGAAGCCACCTGGTGAGGCGCCACCTGGGAGGGTGGGGGCCTTGGGGACAGAGCAGCTGGAGGGGGGCAGGTCTGTGCAGCTGGGACCATGCTTCCGTGGGGTCACCTCCTGCCACCCTGGCCCACCCAGCCAAGCTCCAGTTCTGTCCACTGACCCACCAGCCCCTCTGGTCCAGCACCCCCAGAGACCCCCTGGCCACCCAAGCCCAGCCCCAGTACCTGGGACCAGGATGTCCCCGAAGCCCAGGAGGGAGAAGGGGCGGTCACACAGGGCCAGTGGTGAGGCGTTCAGTCTGGGAACCTTCAGCACCATGGGTAGCTGCAGAGAGGGGCAGTGTCTCCAGTACCCGCCAGCCCTGCTCCCTGCACACTCAGCACCTCGCCGCAGGATACTCCTACCTTCTCATGGGTGGCTGAGTCTGAAGGCCCGGTCGCCACCTCCACCATAATGCTGTTCCCGCTCTAAGAGAAGGGGGATGCTGTGTCAGGAGGGGCTAAATGCAGCAGCCGGACCAAGGGGGCAGGGCATGGGCAGGCTGGGGTGGGGACATGGGGTGTGGGCAGGCAAGGGCAGCGCGCGGGCTGCGGCAGGGCCCACCTTGGTCAGGAAGGGCGTGATGAACACGAAGAAGACGTCGTAGATGAACAGCACCAGCAGCAGCAGTGTGCAGGCCTACGGACAGATGGACCAGGTGTCCGGAGCGCTGCCCTCCACCCGGGAACCTCCGCCAGCTCTGCCCCACCCCCGCCCCCGCCCAGGGTACTGACGCACAGACCCAACAGGATGCGTCAGCAACCCGGCCCAAGGCTCAGACTTTCCCTGTGGGAAGGAACATCTTGCTACATCGACGAGAACATCAGAGCATGGGCAGCCGGGGCTCAGGAAGAGCCAAGATCTGGGCTTCTCTTCTTTTTGGCAGCATTGTTCAGCTTGTGGGATTTCTAGTTCCCCAGCCAGGGATGGAACCCTGGCTGTAAACAGTGAGAGAACCAAGTCCTAAGCTCTGGACCAAAAGGGAATCCCCTCCACTTCTGAGTTCCTGATGGAAAACTCAAGAGACACATGGCTGTGAGCAGCCAGCCGCGAGTTTGGGCAGGTGACACCCATCTTCGCATTTCCCTGTGTCTCTAGGTTCCCACTGCCGGGGTCCCAGTGCCAGCCTGGTGCTCCAGGAAGAGCCCCATCCTTCTGCCTGTGGGTTTCATCTGGTTTTCCTCCTCTGTTCACCTCACCAGCACAGCACCATCACCAGGGAGGATCCCCTCAGCCCAGCAGGCACTGGTGCAGCAGCCATGCCGAGAGGCAACCCTGTACTAATCCTCAAGCCCGAGGTAGCCAGAGGGACAGAAAAGCAAAAACCGTATCACCTACAAGGGGCCGTGCTCAGAGCAGAAGGCCCTGGGCGAGGCCACGTGGCAGGAGGGCAGTAGGCAGACACCAGGAGGCCCCACCTCTCATCCAGAGCTCCCTGAACCCTAGGGGACCCTCACCTTGAATGTGGGGAGGCGGATGGTCTTCAAGGTGTAGAGGCAGAAGGCGATGCCCAACGCATCCTGGAGGATCCAAGCCCACCTGGAAGGCGGCACAGCCTCATCCTCCAGCAGGGTCTCCTGAGAGCCTCCACAGGTCAGGCCCTACCCTCCCAGGCCGCCAGGTCCAAGCCACCCAGTGCCCAGCCTCCCACCAAGTGCCAGGGCCCCGTCCCTCTGCAGCAGTGGCCTTCACACCGGGGGCACAGGATGGGGCAGGGGGTGAGAGGGGGGCCATGCAACTACAGGTTCAAACTTCTTTTCAAAAATATCTTTTAAATGATCTAGAAAAACAAAATTCGCACACACACCCCATCTTCCCAGCCAGGTGCCACACACTCTTGGGAAATAGAGGCTTGGGGTTCTGAGGACAGTATGAAGCCCTAGGAGGCAGGGCCACTTTCAAATTTGCAAGTTAATGCCGTGATGAAGCTCCAGTACTGGGGCTCCCCTGCTGGAAATTGGCTCCCACCACCTGCTCCATCCTCCCTGCCCCTAATCCTCAGAGCTTCATCCCAGCACAGGGTGAGAGTCTCTGGGCCAGGGCAATGGTGGGAACAGTGAAGGCTCACTGAGGCCGCGTGGGTGCCGAGACATGGTAGAAACCAGGGCCTGTTCTAATTTCAAGTGGGGGAGTGGGCCTTCTGGCTGGGACTTAATCTTGAGAGCTCATATTCTTTTTGTGTACAGAGAACTCCAAATATTTTCACGTTTTCCTTCTGCCAGTTAAATCTGTTGTGGCTCCAAACAGCAGCACAGCCAAGAGTGTTTAACGGCCCCAGAGAAGCTCAGAGAAAGTGCCAGATGGTGTCGGTGACAGCAGGGGCGGGGACATGGGGACTGGCAGTGGCTGTCTCTGGGGACACGGGTGTTTGCAGGGCAGAGCAGTGGGCCCGGTGGCGCCAGGCCACATCCATGCTGCTGCTGAGCCCGTGGCTCCACACCCGGTCAGCAATGCCAGTGGCATCTTCCGCCCAGATTGCAATTGCAGACCCCAGGGCACCAGACAGGCCAGGAGGCAGCTAGGGCTGGGCAGCCATCCGTTGAGCCTGGTCGGCACCTGGACAGCATGCAGTCACTGTGTCCAGAGACTGACAGCAGGCCTTTTCATAACTGGGAGCTGGCCTGGATCCAAGTGCCCGGGTCAGACAGCTCGGGGAGGCGAGGGAGGTCAGAGCACATGAGGACAGCACCCTGCTGCCCCCCTCCCCCCTGGGGTGGCGGCACTGCACTCACTGGTCCTCATTCCGGAAGATGCCCCACACCACGCTGACGGCCGCACACAGCAGCGCCAGGAGCAGTGTGCAGACCTGAGGGCGCTTGTGGAAATAGGGCAGGCTGTTGTTGGGGACCCTGCAGGCAGGCAGGGGCATCAGGGCTCTGACCCTCACAGCGCTGTCTGCCCAGCACCGCGGGCTCGGCTCAACTCCCACCCCAAAGCCTCCCATCCATCCCCCTGGTGCCCTACCTGGTGCCCCCCACCCCTCCCCAGATCCCAGGGGGCCTGACCCTGAATGGGATGTGGGGGGAGGAAGGCCGACTCAGAGCCATCCCCACTTCCCCATGAGCCCCCAGCCAGCACTGAGGGGGCACCTGCTATATGCCTGCACTGTGCCAGACTGACTGAGGGCTCTGGAGAGGGTCCTCAGCCATGCGGAAGCTGTGGAGCCTCAGAGGTGGGGACGAGAGGAGAGAGGCCAAGAGGTGGCAGAGTGGGACCCCTGGGATTAGAGCCAGTGCGGGCCACCCCAGGGGCTCACCTGCACTTGCAGAACGGCAGCCTCTGCACGAGCGGTGACAAGCAGCTGTAGAGGCCGGTGGAGGAGGCCAGGCAGAAGATGCCAATGATGACATACACTGAGGGGGGAGTTGCGGGGCAGGGGCAGTGAGGGGCTGACGAAGGGCTCTGCACCTCACTCCCCTAGCAGGTGGGCGCACCAAGGAAAGGGGGGGCCCCCCCAAGGCACTCCTTGAAGGCAGGGACCAGAGCCTCCACCCCCCACACACTGCCCTGAGGGCTGAGGCAGGGCACCCACCAAGCTGGTCATAGAAGAAGTAGAGCAGCACCAGCATGGAGCAGCACATGACCACGAAGACGCAGATCATGACGGGCGTCACGTCCACGGCCTCGTCCTCCTGCTTCTCGGGCCCGTCATCCCGCTTGTGCTTCATGTATCTCCTGGCAAGACGGGCCAGTCAAGGGGCGCCCTGCGGCCGGCACTGCTCCTGGGGCTGCAGGGACGGGGAGGGGCAGGCCGAGGGACAGCGCACCTGGCCCCCATCCAGGCCCGCCGTGTGTACGAGGGTCCCCCTGACGAAGGACCCTGCCCCCAGGACCTCACGGGAGGGCGCCGGGGGCTCTAGTCTTCACAGGGAGGGCTGCCAGAGGTGGGGCTCTGGTACCTGGGCCAGACTGTGGTGGCGCTCTGGGAGAAAGGCTGTGGGTCCCATGGGGCCGCCTTGGCCACGCCCCAACTGTCCTACAGGCTGCCCCGGGCTGCTGGGGCACACTTTCCTGGGGATGCCCCTGCCTGGCTGGGCCAGAACCCGGGGGCCTCTCAGCGGGTCTCCTGGGTGTCATACTGCCTTTCTCTTTCTATAGAGGCCCCTCTTGCGGTTCCCTGCCCAGTGTCCAGGCTGCCTGGCTGGCACCCACCCATGCACATGGGGCACTTACTTCCTGACATCCCGGCTCCCGGCCCAATAGCCCCCAAGCGCGACAGTGCCCACGGCCATGAGGAAGATGATGACCATGTTGTAGTCCAGCATGGGCTCCTTGGGGGCATGTAGCGCCGCCCGCACTGCCTGGCCGAAAGTCTGCCTCGGAGAGCAGAACGGAGCTAAGGCTGGGGAGACCCCACCTCGCCCCACCCCACGCCCTCTCCCAACACGTCGGACCCCAGAGAAGTGGGCCCTGCTGGGACGAGCTAACCAGGGGGATATGAAGCAGCCGGGAGGTTGACAGTGGGTCCCTCGGTGGGGAGACGGGGAGCCTAGAGTGGGATCCCGACTGTTCCCACCTCACTCGTGCTGATGTTCACCTGCTCTGGACCCGACTCCCCACATCAAAGACGACCAAGCCTTTGGTCAGCCCAGGCCAGGCTAGGCCAGGAGGGCATGAGGGGGGCTGGAACTTAGGGTCTCTGGCACGTGGGCAAGGTCAGGGTCTCCTCTCCTGAGGTTCACAGCACTGTGGGCCCATCTCTCCAGGCCCTGGCCCAGCTACAGATGGTGAGGGGCAGGTGGGGAGCCCTACCTGGAAAATGTCCAGCATGTCTCGGTAGCTAAGCAGGGCCACGGGAATGCCAATCTCCTCATACTGTGTCTTGTTGCCTCCCGGGGGTACCTGTGGGGATGGGGGCAGGAGAGGATGAGTGCCCCTGAGTGGGGCACTGCAAGCCACCAACACCCAACCAGCCCTCAGGAGGGTCCTGCATGTGTCAGGGTCCTCAGGGCCAGGAGGGCAAGCCTGTGGGTTCAGCTCCTCCCTCCCAGGGCTGGGCTGGGGGCACCAGTCAGTCTCAGGGAGGAAGAGGCTGGCTCATGGCCCATGCCATCCACCCCCTCAGAGATCCTCCCCAGGCCTGGTCATACCCTGAGCACAGGTATGGGACACGACCCCCTCCAGACCACAGTCGGAAAACCAAGCTCCCTGTCTCCTCCACCCAGACCCCTGCCTCACATCCTAACCCAGTCCCGCCCCCAGGGCCCCAAGCTGCCCAGGAGGCCTGAGGGCCGCACCAGCGCCTCCTTGCTGACAATGAGCAGCCCGCGGGCCCCGCTGCCCTGGGCTAGCCGCACTTTCTCGTAGAAGGTGCAGTTTCCCCGTGCCACCAGCGGAATCTGGTTGCTGAAGCCTTTGGGGGGGAGGTCGGCAGGAGAGCAGAGCACGGAGCTGGTCCAGTTCCGCACCTGCAGGAGAGACTGAGGGAGGAAGGCCTTCAGAGAGGCAGAGGGGATGGTGTCCCAGGCAGCCAGGTGGCAGGGACCCCGCAGGGCATCTGGGCCACCAGTGACACCCCCACACTGCCTCACTGCAAGGTCGAGGGGCCAGCCCACACCACGCTCTGCACACAACACACAGACACACATGCATGCATGTTTGCACATAGCACACAACACAACACACAGGCCCCAATCACCAGGCAGACGGGGGCGTCTGGAGCCCATCACAGACACCACACGGGGCAGGCAGGAGCTCTGGCCTTGGTGATGACAATCGATCCACCTGCTAAACCAGGAACTGGGCATCCGTGTTCTCTGGGAGGAGTCAGGCCGGACCAGGGAGCAGCATGTCTGGGCCGCCCCAAAGACAGGGATGGGCAGACCTCTGTGTCACTAGTCTCAGGATTTCTGGCCAGCCACCCCAGCTCAGCATGGTGGGAGGGATGGGATGCCCCAGACAGGGGACATCCTGCAGCAGTGCCCCAATCTTTTACTCATAACTGAGGAAACCGGGGCCCAGAGAGGCTGGGAGCTCCTCTGGGGTCACGTCCCTCCTCGGACTCCCAGCAGAGCCCTTCCTCCATCCTCAGGGGCCCTCCCCAGGATCCATCCTGCAGAGTCCCCCCAGGGACCCAGGGCAGGAGTGGAGGGAGAGGTGCCTTGGTTGGTGAGCCCCGTGGGGAGGGGTCCCAGCACAAGGCTGCCTGCTGGACTCACCGCTTTGCTGAGGTCATGCGGCAGGTGGGCCCACTGTGGGTTGTAGAGGATGCAGTAGTCTTTGCCTTTGGGGCCACCGGTCTCAGATACCACATGCACCATGCCATACTCACAGGCCACCTGGACAGGGGGTGGAGTCAGAGTAGGCAGGGGCTGGCGCATGGCCCCGCCCAGCTCTGGATGTCCCGCCCTCTGCTCAGGTGGACACAAAGGAGGGCAGGGCCACGCCTCCTCAGGGAGATCTGCGCGCTGACTGTGGCGGTGCCAGGGCCTCTCCATGTGGCTCCAATGGCTGAAAGGAGGAGCAGAGCCACACCACACATACACAGGGCCTGGGCCCACCCCAGCCCCTTGGCTTCTTGGAATCAGAGGGACCCAATGGGACCCCAGCTCTGCACACACCAGTTCCCTGGTCCATCCCTCTGTACCACCCAGAGGTGAGACACAGACTGTACCCCTCAGTATCCCCCTAGAATCTTCCCCAGAGACGACAGGCAGGAGCCCCTTTGTGCTGGTGACAGACCCACACCCACCCCAGAACATGTTGTAGCTGCAGGGGGCGCTCTGACTCAGCAAGGGGTCCCCAGGGGCCATGGCCCTGACAGCATGCCTGGGACACATACTGGCTCTCAGAAGACCGGGTCCTCTGTGAACAGAGGCCAGGGTCAGCTGGCGGTGGCACAGAGAGGGGCTGGGGTCCCCACCACCCCAGGCCAGCTGGCCCCGCGTCTTGGTGTGTCACCTGGATCTGCTGGGTGTTTGACAAAGCTGTGTTTACAGGGCATGGAGCGCCAGAGAAGCCAGGTATGCAGGCACTGCCACCAACACTTGAGGGAGGGAAGGTCAGTGTCGTCCTGCATGTGCCCCTGGCCCAGCCAACCCCTTTCCCTCTACCTGAGGCAGGACTAGGAGCCCCAGCTTCCAGGTTCTCCCCACCACTGTGCCCCACTTAGAGCCCCTGCCACACCCCCACCTTGGGCCATTGCAGGGAGGCTGTGGTCCCTCAACCCAAAGGCTGAATCCAGCCCACCTTCTGTATTTGTCAATAAAGTTTTACTGGAACATGGCTGCCTGGTTCCTGAATGCAGAGCCTATGCTGCTTTCTGCAGAGCCAGGGAGTTACAGCAGAGGCCATGTGGCCCAAAAAGCTCTTAGAAAACGTCTGCTGACCCCTGGTCTATGAGCCCTGAGTCGCTTGTATAACACGGGAATGGCTAGAAGCATTTCTTTTTAATTTAAAAAGGTCACTTAGAAGCACAAGAGCACACGTCCCAGACCCCACCACCACCACCACCACTGTGTGCACAGCTGGCTTTCCCTTAAGATATCAGCCTGGGCCTGTGGCAAAGCCCAGAGAGCAGTCTTGCTGTGGATACAGTCTCCTCCCAGGGGAGGTACAGGGCTGGGAGCAGGTCTTCCAAAGGGCCCAGAGCTCTCAGTGCCCCTCCGTCTCCCCATTCCAGAACTGCCCACTCCAGTCTGGAGAATGAGAAAAGCCATTAAGGACAGGCCACCTCCCAATGCATCACAGCCACACAGCAGGTTCGGGAACTTCAAGGGAAGTTATGCTTCAAGATGACACTGACAGCATCCATGCCAGGGTGCTTAGAGAGAAGCTAAGGGGTCCAGATGGGGAGCAGTCTACGTATCACTTGGTGAGTTCTAGGAGAGGGTGGGGTAATCAGGACCTGAGAAACTTAGAAAAAGATGTTTAGGTGGAGGAATGTGGGGGAGGGGAGCAGGACAGGAGGGGGGCAGTGGAGGGGTGAAAGGGCAGATGCAGGGCGGGTGAGGAGGGGAGGTGAAGGGTGGAGACAGGTGGGGGGATAGTGGAGGGGTACACGGGCAGGTGAGGGGCAGAGAAGGCACCCACGCATTCAGATCTGCTGAGTAACAGGCCCCATGTTTGCCATTATATACACAACTTGTACCAATGGCATGGGGGTGCCCAATCCCTTGTCCAGAGTGTCAGAATGATCGGGAGTGAGCTCATGGTGGTGAGCAGGCATTCTCTGGCCCCATGGAGAGTTGGCCATGCCCTTGGGCGCCATGAAGAACCATGCCCAGGGGTCTGTCCTAGAAAGAGCATGCCCAGGTGCCCTCCTCACTCACTCCCACACACTCCTTGGTTGCCCACACTAAGGGTGAAGTTCAAAACCCTCAGCCAGCTGGGAATAAAGTCCAAACACTGCAGCACCCTGCTGCAACCAGCCCAGTCCACTCCCCTGGACCCCAGCCCATGGAGGCCACACGCCCTGCCTGCCCTTTACCCCATGCTGGAGCCGCTCCCACTGCTGCTGCCTCCACAGCTCACCAGAGCACCTGACTGGCCTCCACCTCCCTCAGGTGTAACCACTGGAGCATCCTACAGGCCATTATAGTGGACCCTCACCATCTTCAGATAAATCATCAGCTCTCAGGAGATGATGGAAAAGGAAATGGCACCCCACTCCAGTACTCTGGCCTGGAAAATCCCACGGACGGAGAAGCCTGGTAGGCTGCAGTCCATGGAGTTGCTAAGAGTCGGACACGACTGAGCGACTTCACTTTCACTTTTCACTTTCATGCACTGGAGAACGAAATAGGAATCCACTCCAGTGTTCTTGCCTGGAGAATCCCAGGGACCGGAGAGCCTGGTGAGCTGCCGTCTATGGGGTCGGCACAGAGTCGGACACGACTGAAGAGACTTAGCAGCAGGAGGTGAGGGGGAGAATGAGACTGATGTACACACTATCATGTATAAAATAGATAACTACCAAGGGCCACTGTATGGGCTTCCCACGTGGCTCAGTGGTGAAGAACCCACCTGCCAATACAGAAGACTCAAGTTCGAACCCGGGGTTGAGAAGATTCCCTGGAGAAGGAAATAGCAACCCACTCCAGTATTCTTGCCTGGGAAATCCTATGAACAGGGAACGTGGTGGGCTGCAGTCCACGGGGTCATTAAAGAGCTGGACACGACTTAATGACTAAACAGCAACAAGGACCTACTGTATAGCACAGGGATCAATACTGTGTAATGGCCTGTATGAGAAAATAATCTAAAAAAGGGTAGATATATATATAACCAATTCACTGTGCTATACACCTGAAACACAATATTGCAAATCAACCACACTCCAATAAAAATTAAATATCTGCTATTAAAAAAATAAAAATCACCAGATCTCACACCTCCAGCCCTGCCCTCGTCACCTGCAACTTTCTCCCTGGAACACCTTCTTGACCCAGCAAATTCCTACTCATCCCTCAGAACGCCCCTCCAGGGTTTCCTTGCTTCCTGCTTCGGAAAGGCATTCCCAGGCCAACTGTGCCCTTCCTTCTGTGGTGTTCTTGTGACCCTTCGCCCACCTATCACTTTGCCATATTTTTTTTTTCTTAAATATTTAGAGAGCTCAAAGTCCCTGCTTCCAATGGGTCAGACTGCTGAGGAAGACAAGTGAACAGGGCTGGAGGAAGTACTAGGGGCTGGCAAAACAGCTGGGGAGGGGGTGGGCCAGAAAGCTGCTGGGAATGTGGCACCCCTAAGCTGAAACCAGAAACACAATGGTGGGGGGAGTTAGGTTTCAGGGAAACAGAGCCAGGAGAGCAGAGTGCCATTAATACGTTAGAGCTGTAAGCAAAGGGTAGTTTCCTGTCAGCCGGATCACAGAGTCCTCCTGAATGGGCCAGTGGCTTCCTGGCACCAGAAAGCTCTCATTTGGACACAAGATCTGACACACTTTGAAAGAGATCCCTGCTGCAGGGCTGAAAATGAACTGGGAATTTGGGGGACAAAAGCGGCCTTGGAGAGAAGCCAGCAGGCTGAAGCAGAGGTCGAGGGGCTGGCACAGAAAGGTCACGGTTAATGGCCCGGTTTGTAGGGCTGTTGGGGGGGGGGGGGGGTGGCACCATTTCCGGAGTTGTGGAATTGGGGAGAGAGGGAGGATTTGGAAAATAAAAAATGCACTCATGATAATGTAAATCAACCATCTCCAGGTCTGTCCCCCAGTGGTGACTCTTGAGATTAAGTGACAAACAAGTAGCATGCCCCGCGTTCGTGATCCCCTACATCATCTCGTTGACACCGCACTGTACACTTATCCTCCTTTTGCAGACGACCAACTCAAAGCGGGGAACTCCCCTGCCAAGGTCAAGGGAGAAAAAGATGCGGCGGCGATTCGACCCCACTCCAGGACTGGGCTCCTGGCCGCTTCTACACGCCCCCAGACACTGGGTGCCACGCTGGACAGTTGACTACAACCACGGGGAATGGGGGTAGTATCGCTTTCAAGGGGATGCCTGGGTCAGAGAGGGGTAGCCCCCCGGCTAAGGCCACGGAGTCAGAGAGGGGCATCCCAGAGGCGGTTGGAGACCCCGAGACAAGACCAGCAGGGGCCGGAGCGGGAGTGGGGTAATGGGACCTCAAACTTCAGATCCGGGCGGAACCCAGTCGGCGGAATCCATGGTTGGGAACGGCGTCCAGACAGGGAAGGGAGAAGGGCCGGGGGACAGACCCGCAAGGTCACGGACGGGCCCCAGGCCCGCGGGTTGCCGGCACCGGGGGCGCGGATCCCCTAAGTTGGCCCCAGGCCGGGCAGGGCGGGGTTCTGAGCGGGGCCGGGGAGGGGTGAGGAGCCGGGGCACCGCGGCCGGCGAGGCCAGCGGGGTCGGCGCCGCCCTCACCTGGGTCGCGAGGAGAAGGAAGGCCGCTGCGAGCCGCGCCAGCGCCGCCGCCGCCGCCGCCGCCATGTCGCCCGGTCCCAGCCACAGGCGTCGGCAGATGTTTCCCAGCAACGCCCCAGCGCAGAGCGCCGCGCAGGCGCCCTGCGTCTTTCGCGCATGCGCGCGGGGTAGGGTACAAAGGGCGCAGTGGCGGCGCCTGCGCATAGCGACACGGCGCGACAAGATGGCGGTGAGCGTGAGGCGCGGATGGTGGGGTTGGCGGGGTTCGCCGGGTTGGTGGGGCTGGCGGGGTTGACTGGGCAGAGTCCGGCCGTGCTCCCCGCCTCACAGCGTTCTGCATCCCCTGCAGGACAAAGAGAAGAAAAAGAAAGAGAGCATCTTGGACCTGTCCAAGTACATCGACAAGACCATCCGAGTGAAGTTCCAGGGAGGCAGAGAAGGTGAGGCCCCGCTTCCCTCCCCCTCCACGAGGAGTAACGAGGTCCACGAGGAGTAACGGGATGCGGAACTGGTAACGGATGCCTGGGCCGCGCTTTAGGCGCTTGGCTCGGACAACTCGTCCGGCCTGCTGCCGGCGCCGGCGGGTAGGAACGGTTACACCCCGTTTGCAGGTGGGGAAACTGATGCACGCAAAGGGGCCCAAACCTCACCCGAAGCCACAGGGCCTGGGATTCAGGTCTCTGCCTCCTTTGGGTCTTGTCTCATCCAGGCGGCTGCCCCAGCCCCTCATGGGCCCCGTCAGCACCAGGGTTTCTTAGTTTCGGCACTGCTGACATTAAGGCCGCATTGTTCTCTGTAAGGGGCCGTCCTGGGCGCTGTAGGGTGTGGAGCAGCATCTCTGGCCCCACCCACTCGATTCCAGGAGCCCTCTAGTCCTGATGACCACAGGCATCCCAGACATGGCCCGGTGTCCCCTGGCAGGGGCAGAATTGCCCCAGTTGAGAACCCGGGCCCTATACTCAATTTCCACGAAGCCATCTGAGGCACCTGTTAAAAGCAAACCTCATCTCCTTGTTCACCGTAGTTCCAGGGTAAACAATGAGCCTTTTGCTTTTGAGGGAGGCAGACAGCTCTCAGCTGCTCTGGGAAGCTCTATTTGACTCTGCATCCCAAGTCAGGGTCCTTTGGTATAAGCTTCTGGTAGCAGCTGTCAGGACTTGGCAGGTTTGTTCAGTTACTGTGAGGCTTGAACTCTGCATCTTCCTCTGAGATCTGGTGAGGAGACTGGCTGGAAAGATGATGCAAGGTTATGTGGAGAGTGCGGTCCAGGGCAGAGCCCCAGCTCACTGGCTGTGGGACTTTGGGCAAGTTGCTACCATCTCTGAGTCTGTCTCACTTGTCAGAGGCTGTTAACTCTACCTACCTCAGCAGTTTTGGTGAAATTAAAGGGTAACATTGTTAGCCAAGTTTCTGACACTTAGTGAGCACCCAGTGTTTCACTTATTCAGCTACCTCTGATCTTCACTTTCTTTGTTCCTAAGATGGTGATCCAGACTCCTTCTCCTCTGAGATGTGGACAACTGGGTAGCATCAGAGTGGCTAAAAACACAGTGCCTGCCCGTCTAGGTACCTGGCCCAGTGAGGCTCTGAATCTGAACAAACACTGGCACCATGCCAGCTCTGGGAGAGGAGATGGGGCTCCTGCTTCTCAAGGCGCTTGTGTTTTGTTGTTGTTTTTTAATTAATTTTAGCTGCATCAGGTCTCAGACTCCAGGCCAGGTCTCTCTAATTGTGCCATATGGGTTTAGTTGCTTCATGGGATGTAAGATCTTAGTTCCCTGACCAAGGATGGAACCCACATTTGCTGGACTGCAGAATGAATTCTTAACCACTTGGACCCCCAGGGAAGTCCCTTCTGTTCATTTTCTGTGCTTCAACAACCCATTTTTATCTCTCAGCACCTGTGGTTCCAGACTCTGGGTGCCTCAGGCTCAGGTCTCTGACGAGGTTGCAGTAAGGGAGTGTCTCTGGGAGCCTGTCATCTTAGGTCCGGGGTCCCCATTTTCTGGCAGGTGTTGGCCAGGGACCCTCTAGGCTCCTAGAGGCTACCCACTGCCCCTGCCACAGACACTGTCCACAGCATGGCAGTTGACTCCTTCAAGGCCAGCAGGAAAATCTCATTTTTTCAACTTCTCTTTTCAGAAAGGGCCCATCCTTTTAATGGCTCACCTGTCAGGTCAGGCCCACCCAGCATAGCCTCCCTTTAGATTCACTAAGACTGGACTGACTCATGTACCTTGATCACACCCACAAAGCCCACTGTTACAGCCTAACCACAGACTGATGTCTGATCTAGGGTCCCATCCCACACCATGGGGGGGGGGGGTGGAATGTTGGATTCATCTGAGAATCCCATCCATCTGCTGCAGCACCTCCCCCAGTAAGAAGGGAGGACCCACAGGTGTGGGCTCACTCGCCCGCCCAGGGCCAAGTGCCCAGATATATTATTGGATTTGTCACTCTCCATCACCCCACTTGGTGGGTGCCACCTCAGGGTTGAGGAGGGCTGTAAACTGGAGAGGAAGCAGAGCCAGGGCCTCGCACTCAGGCAGGGCTGGCAGACTTGTTCTACAGAAGACCAAACAGGGAACATTTTCAGCTGTGCTGGCCAGACGGTCTCTGTCGCAATTCCTCAACTCCACCATTGCAGCAGCTGAGCCGCCACAGCGACATTTAACAAGCGTGGCCGGGCGCCAGTTAAACTGTTTACAAAACAGGTGCAGGCGAATTTGCCGACAGTTGCGGTGGTGATGGTATGGGGTCAGCTGTCACTGCTCGCCTCCCGGGAGCCCTTACCTTGCTCCCCCTTTGGTCTTCCATCTGTCCTGTCCCTGGAGAGGCTGCTGCCACGCCTGCATCTGGCTGAGGGTGGCCCCTCACCAGTGAGAACACCCCAGTTTCATGTGCTGACACCCGTGTGTCACTTTCCCCAGAATGACCACTGATCTTATGCTTGTCCATCTCTCTTCTCTGCTTGGTGATTCCGACAAGCCAGTGGAATCCTGAAAGGGTTCGACCCGCTGCTCAACCTCGTGCTGGACGGCACCATCGAGTACATGCGAGGTGGGTGCAGCTGGCAGGGCGCGGAAACGTCCTTGCCAGGCCTTCCTTACTGTTCCTAAGCCGCCACCCACGTGCTGATCCACCGTGAACGTGGTGCCTGGGGGGTCAGACGGCTGACAGGTGTGTTTGCTCTCCCACTGTCCCAGTGGGGCTCAGTAGACTGTCATCTTGGGACTTCGGGGCTGGAGTGTTTTCTGGATTCACTCATCAGGGACCCTGAGCACTTGCTGGAGTTGAAGTGTGCCTGGTGGGGCTAGAAAGGTGCTGCACCCGCCGCGATAAAGCTGGCTCCCAGGGGCCTCGTCCTAGCCCCTCTCCTGCTGACCCTGTCTGTCAGCTCCCTGCTGCCAGCAAAGGGTCCCCTCCCCTTCCTTTCCCATTCCTGTCCCCAGACCCTCCAGCTCAGCCTGAGTGTGGCACAGCGGAGCCCCTAGGTTCAGGAGAGAAGGGGGTCTCGCTCCTCCAGGGACTGTCGATGTTGAAGTACACGGTACTCTGGTGCAGAGTAAATGCGGCCACACGCAAGTGTCAGAGGCCACCGGGCAGAGGCCCTCTTTGTGGGAGGAGCAGCCCTATGGGGCCCCTTGCCCGCTCTTGTTTTCTTTCTCCCCTCGGGGTTTACCCAGAGTCCTGCTGCTGGGGTCCTGGCCCAGCCTCCTCGGGCAGATGACATTCTGGAAAAGGACAGCCTAGCCCTGTGGGGCTGCTGGGAGAACCACATGAGCTGGTGTGTGCCGTGCACTTACATGGGGTCCCAGCTTGCTGGTCCAGCGAGTTTTTGCCCTCTCCTCACCCCAGAACAGCCCCAGGCCCAGAGCCAGCCAGACCCATCCCTGCAGCTCCAGGAGGGAATGGGCAGGCTTGGACTGCTGTTATCCTTAGGGTCTGGGAGTAGGGAGTGGCACCCCAACTCAGCCTTTCCCATCGTGCAGTGATCTCTGAGAGTAAGCTCTCCTCCAAGTGCTGTCACTTCCCCCCTGCTGGGAACAGCCCGTTGGTGCGGGGGTGAATGGTGGCCCTCCAGGAACTCCCAGATCCTGCAGATCCACCGCCCCTCTGAGCACTCAGTCCATCTCTCCAGGGCTGTGTTCTCATTGTGGAAGGAGGGCAGGCTGCACAGGGCCGTCTCCAGAGCTCTTCCTGAGCCTCTCTGTCTGTCTCAGAGAAGCTGCCAACGGACTGGGGGAAGCGGAGGTGGGGGGTGAGAGCTTGGCCTGCCTTCCCTCCCCCCAGCGCCCACACCCCACTACCCACCCAGGCACATCTCCGGGCACCTTCCCACACTGCCTCACTGCTGCCCCTCTTCTCCGACAGACCCCGACGACCAGTACAAGCTCACAGAGGACACGCGGCAGCTAGGCCTGGTGGTATGCAGGGGCACTTCGGTGGTGCTCATCTGCCCACAGGATGGCATGGAGGCCATCCCCAACCCCTTCATCCAGCAGCAGGATGCCTAGCAGCCAGGCCACCCATCCGAACGGAACTCTTTTTTGTATAACTTACATTTTTGTTTTGTTAATAAAATTGCAAACCTCAAGTGTCCAGGAGCCCTGGAATCTTCCTTTCAGCTTTGTTTGGTGTTCTGGTAAAACCCGGACCTGGGGATTTGGTTCATCTGGCAGAGCTTGAGCACTGGCCGAGGATTTGGCGGTGACTGAGCGTGCATAGTGCAGGCGAGAACCCCCGGGGACCACCGCCTATGTGGACACCCCAGCCAGCCTTCTCAGTGGCAGGTCCTGTCCTTTCAGTGCCTCTATGCTCTGGCCCGAGGGGTCCCACAAAGCTGGGTCTATTTTTGTCATGTCTCAGCACAGCCATGATCCCACAAAAAACAACTAGATGGACCCTTGCTGTCCACCTGGCCCACGACCCCAGAGGTGATCTAAACCTCTTCCCCGCTCATCTCAGAGGACACGCCCACCCCTGCCCCTCAGCCAGCGACCCCAGGCCATCATCATGAATGTCCCAAGTCCCTGTCCTCGGGAGCAGGGCTTTCTCCTGGCCTCGTTCCATAAACCCCGTGTCCTTGTTAGGACCCTGCCCCCATG